CGTGCGGGCGGCCGGCGGCTTTGATCTTAAGGATCGGATCGGTATAGTATGGTATGGTATAGTATGGCATGGATATGGTGTATGGTATGGTACGGTATGGTATGGTATGGAGTGGCGTGGCGTGGTATGGTGCGGTGTGCGGGGCACGCTTGTCAATTGTGGTTGGCTTCAAAAGCGGCTTACTGAGCCCCATGTCCCGATACCAATACCGTTTTCAATCCCAATCCCAATCGCAGTCCAAGTCGCTGTCCCAGTTCCCCGGGCGAATGAAGTGTGTAATTTGAAATTAGCTCAGGCTCAGCGGCACCTTTTGAGCCCGGCCGACTTGACTTGGTGCACCTGCTGCTGGCGGAGATTGTGATGCTGATGCTGATGCTGTTGCCGATGGTAGTGGTGGTAGTGATGGTGCAGTCGATGGTGACGGTGCGGCTGTCCTGCGGCGGCTACTTAGTTACGCAGTCGCACCGCAGCGTCAAGGCCACATACCGTCGTCCCCCGCATCTCGTCCAGCTCGCTTCGATGCACAAGGAAAAATACGTAATGCGTTCGGCTTTCAGTAATGTACACTATCAGAAACCATTTATATCGAATACATATCTTAGCTATTTATGCATTACTCGAGTTAAATAATAATGTGGTTATGTGTATTACCAACTAAATCGCGATGACTTATGTTTGAGTTTTGAAATATGGTAGGTATGGTAGACATACACATTCCTATATAAACATTGATATAATTATTCCCTATTTAAGCGTATTTGGGCATAAATTCATTTAGATAATACTAACAGCTTGACTGCATTTTCGCATGTCAGCAGCACCAAGAGTTTCGCGCGGTGTACGATTTCATTTTCGATTTCAGCTCCATTCAGCAAATGAATGCCACTGAGATATACGCAAATTTATGGCCGCACATATCTGTATGTACATTTATAATCTGACTAATTTGCGATCTCTCGATTTTCCAAATCCAAGACTCATCCAATCTGGGCTTCAATCTTCTATGCGTGCATTAAGCGGGGGGCGCTAATCAGGTTTCTGGCCCCAAATTGGTTTCATTTTCATATTTCAATTTCGAAAGACGGTAGCCGGAGGTCTGTCGAAAATGCAAAATCAGTAAGACCAGTAGTCGCGACATGATATAAATTAACTGTTTTGACTTTGTGAAATGAAATGCCGGCCCCCTTTGAAATTCAAAAGGCCGCAACTCAGAGGCGAAAATATCGAAAATAACAGCCAAATCGATTTCTTACTCGAAGCCGAAAATTCAGAAAAACAAAATAAAATACCATTCAAAGTGGCTCCGAGTTGTTTATCTCGTTAGAGTTGCCAGCGCGCCGATTTCTTTTCGGCTTAAATGGTTTATGTGCGTTTGCAACCAGTTTTATGGACATCGCCTCCGCAGCCTGACGGAGCGGCCTGATTATATATTGATGACGCCGCTGGACGCGGGATGCGGGATCTTGGATGTTGGATGTTGGATCTTCGATATTCGCTCTTCGATCTTCGATCTTTGTGTACGTTGGCTGGAGTTTCCGATGCCGCCAGTCTGAAGCCAGCTTTACATTTAGGTGGGATGTGGCCGGCGCCTTTGAAGCGGCGCGTTTACCACGTGCCGTGGCAAGTTCAAGCCACTCCTCCGCCTCCGCCTCCACCATCCCCAATCCTCGCCAGCAAGAGCAAGTATCGCCGCTCGCTGATCACCCACATGATCCAATCAAATCGACGGCGACACACAGACCCCCATTCGAATTAATAAACAAAGAAATGCTCATAAATACCCGTAAATATGCATTTTATAAATGTTTATTTATATTGTTTAGCTGAGGGGTAAGAAGATTCCGCAGCCAGTTTTCAAGTCGAGTAGCGATTTGAACGATTTTAATGATGTGTTCAACGTCTTATGATTTAATTATGCCGTTTGTTGCTGCGGTTATCGTTTGTTATCTTCGCTCGCTTTTGTTTTTTGTTTGTTGTCTCCGCCTCCTAATATCATATGCCCCATATTGAAGCCGGATCGGCTATTTATTGAGCCTTAATTATGTGCGATTTAAATTCTTAATGAATGCCGCTTTTGGCCAGCTCCGCCGCAGATCAGCTCCCGTTTGACGTGGGCGCACATGTGCCGATGATTTAACTGATAACGAATTGAGATATCTGCATAATGCCAGCATAATCCCACATAATGCCAACAAAATGCCAATAATGTGGGTGGGAGCCGCGATGACCAGGCGCCAGCATGACGACCCCAAGCGAACCACCTTGCTCACTCGCGAAATTCCGCAGACTCGGATGAAATGTGATGCAAATAAGGATTATTGTGATCTGGTTGGTTCCTCTGTCCAAGAGAAAGTGGACATTTCTACTATGCCGAAGAGCAGCTTACTGTACTGCTGTAAGCAATAACTGCCGAAAACAATTACTGATGTTAATAAAGCAAATTTAAATTTCATTCGGAAATCATAGACTTACTGTGTGCGGTGTTAATATTTAAATATTCGCTTCCACCATACAATTGATATCATTTAAATTATTTTTTCGTAAGTAATTTTGTAAGCGAATTTCTTTTTCCGAACGCAGTAATATGCGGCTGACGAACTTATTAACTAATAATACAAGTTCTTAACAAAATACAAAACATTTTTGTACCCGTTACTCTTAGAGTAAAAAGGGATACTATATTCTTTGAAAAATATGTAACAGGCCATACAAAGTATATATTATATATTCTTGATCAGGATCAATAGCCATGTCAATTTGTCCGTCCGTCTGTCCGTCCGTATGAACGTCGAGATCTCAGGAACTATAAAAGCTAGAAAGTTGAGATTAGTCGTGCAGATTCCAGAGACATAGTCAAGTTTGTTTCCAAAAGTTCCCACGTCCACTCTAACGCCCACACTGAAAAAATTTTAAATTTGTTTTCATTATTTTATTTTTTTTAGAATTTTCTATCAATATTCGAGAATATGAAGAAATTTCTCGTTCGCACTTCCACTAGCTGAGTAACGGGTATCTGATAGTCGGGGAACTCAACTATAGCATTCTATCTTGTTTTAGTTCGGTTTTTTAAGTCTAAATGTAATTTAGCCCACTTAAAAATTCCTTTTCATCATTATGTAAGAATAGGCTAATATGCTGAGCAAACAACCAATGGTTAATTGATGAAATACTTTTGTCTAAAAAGTACCCACAGAACATTTGATCCTTTTGACGAGATCAAAGTGGTTTGCCTCTGAAACTAGAGAACGAATTTTTCGGCATATGAAAGTGGAAATAGAGGATGGTTCCGGGTCTAGAGAAGAACTTCTGGGCCCTGGGAGGCGGAGGGGCGTGGCAAGCAGTGACATATGTAGGTTGCGCTTAGTAGCTTAGAATCAAAGTCGGATCAGCGCAAATTTCTGTGATCTTCTCTGATCTCCAGCGATTGCTCTCTGCCGACGTCGCTGCCGCTGTTCTGCCGCTGCTCTGCCGCTGTCGGCTGAACACTTTGATGTCCTAATTGGTTTATTACTTTGTCGGCATCTCCAGTCTTCTTTGTGTTTCTGTTTTTTCTCTCCACCTATCCAGATCGCTCTCCCTCTCTCCATGCACTGCGGAATAATTTGTACTTCAGTATTTTACAGATACAGATATTTGACAGCTCAAAGTTCGGCATAACTCTTAGAATTTAAAATATTAGTCGTTATTTATATACATATTTATTTATTTTTCATCAATTATTGTCTGCCTACCATTTATTTCAATGAATTTACTTTAATAATAATGAAAATTGGAAAACAACATGCGAATGTATTTTTGGGTATATGTTGTTGTTCTTGTATATCAATTGAGATATTTTTACTAAAAATACTTGTATATACTTTAGAACTTTATTAGTATCTTCTTACTATTGACAATCCATGGAGAATGTTTATAGAGAAATGTAGCAATTTGGCTTGTGTAATACTTTCCGGTGCATTTCTGTTGTGGCTGGAGTCTGCTTTATGCCGTTGCCTGTTTTATTTATTTCTTTATTTCCCTGGGCCTTCATGCTGCAGCCAGGGACTTGAGTTGAGATACGACCTGGGGCCCGGCTTTGGCCCGAAATGGAGCTTAACGAGTGAGCACGCGCACAGAACGGGATGGTTGATGGCTGATGGTCGATGGTCGATGGGACGGTCGCTGGGCCCCGGGGCACCGGGCACCGAGATCCCGAACTGGAAAACGATCTGCCCAAGCTCCCCAGCCGGCTCAGTGAATTCCCCAGCCGCAGCCCCAACCACTCTTAGCCTTAACAATGTTTGCCGCGTGTGCGCTCAATCAACATGTTGCGATATCAGCGCAATTTGTCATCTTATAAACAACAGAGAGCGCGGCTGAAATTCTGATTCTGGCCAGGTCCGATGGCATCGTGATCAGAAGCAGTTTAGCCCCTGCCATGGCTAAAAGCAGAACAGCAGAACAGCAGAACTGCAGACCATCGGAACATCACAATGGGCAACTACCAGGAAACCGTTTTCCCAAATCGCCCATCTTCCATCTTATAGCCCACATATCCCATCCCACAGCTCACATCTTATATCTCAGTTCAGTTTCTGTGCGGTGGTCCTGTGTGAAGTTCGCCGTATTCAAAGCGCAAGAAAACTCAATCAAGGGCCTCGTAAATCTTGGCACAATTTGATGAGTGCACAGTGGGAGACAATGGCATGGGCCGTGAGTGACCCGTGCACAGTGGGCCGCAAAGGAACTAAAATGAGCTGGAGCAATATGTATGATTCTTAATGAGTAGTTTAGGAAGAAATCATAGAACATTAATTTTACATTTCTTACTACATATTGCATAAAATTGTAAAACAAAATTAATGAGATATAATGCTACATTGTATCGGTTTGATGGGAAAGTATATGTCATAAAGCATATATCTAAAATGTATTGAACTGGCAGAAACAGAGATAGAGATATAATAAAATCACATTGATGGTGAAGAAAATTTAAGATGCAGAAAAGCAGCATGTTAAAGTAACTAACTTGTGTGTTCATACCACGGTGCTGGCCCGCAAGTGGTTCCAAATTTCTCGGCTTATTGATTAAAGCCGACGCATCGGCATTGGCGCATCCAGTTCCATTTCCGATTCGTCATCATTGCCACCAGCTGTGAGATTCTTGAGGATTCAATCGGAGCTATGATGGCTCGATGTGTGTGGCGGGTGTTTTGACATTTCGAGCTGCTCGAAATGGGAGTCTGGCGTTTTCCATCCCGAACTCGAATCGTCAAAAGTGATACCTCGAACTGGCGAGCGGGGCTGGTGCTGATTCCGCAGCTGATCCGGGTCATTATTGATCGTCCGTGTCCCGCTGTTGTGATCCGGTCGCAGCAGGCGATCCGATCCTCCGGCTGCAACAATGGCAGCGCTGTCCCATAATCTACACCACCATCGGCGGACCTTTTGAAGGTCCTTTCGGCCAAAGTTCTGGCCGTAAGGGCGAACACACACGCCGCCAGCAGCATATGCAAAACACAATGAGGTTCTTTGAAGCGCATCGTGTTCCCCTCTTTCAGGTAGCGACAATTATTTATCTTACAAATTTACCTGAAATTAAATACTTTCGTTTGACGGCGCTGCGCAATGCAGCTACACAAAAGGCGACAAATTCCCCCTTTTTGCCATGTGTGCGTCGTGTTTTCATTTTTTGTCTTTAATCAGCGGCTGTTGCTTTGATCACCATCTCGGGATCGCCATCGCCATCGCCACCGCCATTGCCATTCCCATTGCCATCAGCACCACCTGACAAGGTGCTACGTTTAAGTCCCTCCCTGCTTCCTGGCTGCCCACCTACCTGCGGTCGAAGGTGTGACAAGTCAGCGGATTTGCGTGTTGCTTCTTGCGAAATATTTAAAATGCAAGATTATCGCCCAAAAAGGCTAGCTCGCCGCACTTAATCCTCTGTGCCATTTCAACCGGACACCTTACACCGAGCATATTTATGGCCATCATATACTCGAGTTGAAATGTACTTTCCAACTATTTTCGAGTCTTAAAGATTCACTTTGATATTCCCTTTTAATTAGTTACCAAAATGTAAGTCCTTTATAAATTGCAAATGTTTTTTAGTAATGTAAAACGTAATGCGAATCCACCAAAATATAGCTCTTGTACTGAATTAAAATTTTTATTAGTAATTTTCGTATAAAGCAAACTTTAATTACCTGAGTTTTTAATTTAGAACCTCAGGCAAATTATATAAAGTTAAAATTGCTTAAAGGCTTAAATGTTTTTTAAATAAAATGTGGTAGAAGTTGGCCAAAAATATCATAAATACATTTTCGTTGTTAACATGTTATAACACCAATCCTTACTTTTTTATCTAACATATTTTTAAACATTTTTTCCTGTGTACAAAATGATGCCGTTTTTGATCTTGCCGTATGCTCGACTAATTAGCAAAGAAAGCCACAGAAACAGTGAAGAGAGCGGTGGATGTAAGAACAAAACCATTTCGATTAAAGCAGAATCCACCGACAACTAATTCAATCCAATAATAATCGCGCAATCATAATTACACGAATCTTCCGAAAAAGTAATCCAGACCCAGTTTCAGTCCCAGTCCCGATCCCAGTACCAGTCCCAATCCCAATCCCAATCCCGGAGAAAGACACAAACGAAGATCAACCGACCGACCGACCGAGCGAGCGAGCGATCTTAGCCGGAATTCTATTGCCGCCTGTGGCAACAGCAACTGCAACAACAACAGCAGCGGCAGCGGCAGTGGCAGCACTAACAATAACAACGTCAACAACAACAGGTTGCCGCCGCCTGAAGTGCTTCGTGGCCCAGACAAACGTTAAGATTGTAATAACCATGTTAAAAGCAATTTACGTTTAAAGTGCTACCGTGATACGCCGCCGCTGCGTTTCTTGATTAAGAACAGAGGGGATGCTGGAAAAACGGAGAAGGTGACGGGGGGAGGAGGCGAGGAGGTCCAGGAACTGGACTTGCATTTATTTGGCGGCAAGAAATGTGCATACCCGTTAGCTGTCCAGAAATAGGGTATGTTGTACTCCACGTGGAATAAGATGTAGGAAACTACGTTATCTCTAAAAATGTACAATGCCTTGTTATTCTTATCATTTAAATGTTTTGCCATTGATCTGAAGTTGTTAAATTATTAAAAATTAATTCAATTAGTTCTTATCTTACTTATCTTGCTGATCTTGTAAAGATATGTTATCCCAAAAATAAACGCTCATAAGTATGCAACATCATGTGCATCAAGTATGCATCGTATTTAGAATTAAGAAAGTTATGACCTATTCAACTTCTTCAACGTATTCAACTTAAATGACATCAAGAGAGTATCCTATAGTCGAGGCAATTTCATCGCTCCACGTTGTTTATTTGGCCGCTTTGGGAACTTTCCTCTCATATTCACAGTCCACTTAACACGCGCGTCGCACAATGCGCCTCAAAACACAAATGAGCAGAGTTCTGCGCATGCGTCGCTGGTGCTGATGTTGCTGCTGCTGCTGCTGCTGCTGCTGCTGCTGCTGCTGCGGATGTTGCTGATGTTGCTGCTGCCCCAACGGTGGCGTTGGTAACCTCAGAAAATCTGTGCTGGCGGCGCGCTTTGATGTTGGGAATGGCGTGTGCCCCTATGCAGAGATATTCGCTTTGTTGTTTCGCCGACTTTGTCTACGTCTTAGTTGCCTGCCAACAACAACACCGTCGCCATGCAACAGTAATTTGCCGCCAAGTGGACCGCAGCGTGCAACATTGGAGCGTGCGATCCGAGAGAGTGCCACCAGAAAGTGGTTGCCCCTTGGCCAAGTGGGGAAACCATTTCAGCCATCTCTGGCAGCCTATGGAGTAACCATGGAGCTGACCGCGTATTAAGCCAATCATTCATCCTGAGAGATAAAACATTAATGGAAATTTAATCAGAAATTCAAGTATTGTTAAATCATATTTTCTCTGTATCTTAGGGATATAAAATCAAACAATTTTCCAATTGCTCCTTATGAACACTTTATGTTTCTATTACCATCTTTATTGATGAAAGCCAGGAAATCTTTACCTTATTGAAGTATTTTTTTGAAATGTGGAAAGAACTCAAATTATATAATATAAGCAGATTTACATAGAACGCAAATACATGTACATCTTTTTGGGATATAACAATATTTTTTGCTTTTTTTTCTTCATTTAACTAAAGTGCCAATAAATACCGGTACAATTTTTTAAAAAATTTAAGGAAACCACCTGGTGACCATCCAACATCACTGACCTCCGTCAATAGAGAGCAATGCATTTATGGTCTCCGGCTGGATGAAATTAGAGATGCCCGCTCCGCCGGTTGATGGATGAGAAATGCTGCTGCAGACTGGAGATTGGATGGTGGATGCGGGATTCTGGTTGGAGCCTCGGCGCACCTGTTGCGTTTTCCACAGCGAGTGGCCGCTTTGATTTTCGCAAAATAGGAGAAGAAACGCCGGAGAACAGTTGCGCGGCGGATCCTGAAATCGGGCAAAGGATCAAAGGACGTGACCGTGACTGGGACAAACCGATAATAAAGTTGTGCATTAAATGAAATTTTAATTGCTTATCGACGATCGGCGATCGGTGATCCGGGAGCCCATCTGTTGGGATTAGAGCGGCCGAATGGTCGACTCGATTGATGTCAAGCGATCGGTCGGTCGGCGCTTTGAAGATTATGCCCAAAGTTATGAGGCTGAGGCAGAGGCTCTGTATTCCAGGTGCTCCGTTCTCCAGGTGATCAGATCGGTCCATGCGAAATTATATAGCTCAGCAGCGGTGGTAGCGATGTAGCAGCTTTAACTACGCAGTGCCTGTCGCTTCCTCGCCGTCCTCTTTCTCGTCATCGTCATCGTCATCATCATCATCATCGTCATCATCATCAACCTCATCATCTTCCGCTGGGGCATCGCATCAGCTGGCGCTGCTGCTTGTTGCTTGCTGCTTGCTATTTGCTGCATGCGGCAGAAGATGAAACGCGGCGGCAACACTTTGATGCGGCCAAGATCAAAGCCGCCGATTGTTTACATAATAGTGGCCTTTGAAACGGAACAATAGAATGCCAGGATCAAAGACACCGACCAGTTTACCCGGTTAGTGCGCTTAAGCGAAATGAATGTCCATGTCCGTCCGCCCGTGATCTGTTTTCCTGGCCCCACACCGCAAGAAAAGCTAGGCACTTTCGACTTTAAATAAGCCCCAACTAATCGGAATAACAAATACCACTTAATTTTTTTATTTTTTAATCAGTGAGAATTTGTATCAATCGAGTTAGCTACATATTTGTTTTGCTTCGTTTTGGACAACGAATTTTCCCAGTGTAGTAAAAGTAGCACAACTTGCTGTGGATGGGAACATCGCCGTTTTGCGTTCTGAGGTAAATCAAAATTTTAGGACCAACAACGAAAATAATACAAATTGTTTTTGACACTTATCAGCATTCATAAACTTAGTTTTTCGTTTCTAAGACAACAATAATTAATGGGTATACTCGTTTAAGTATTTGTCCATTTAATAGCGAGGTTTTTGCTAAATAGCACATCCATCATCAGCAATGTTGGATTTTGTTAGGCAAAATAAACTGTTAAGACTTTGAGAACTCCATCGTATTAACGAAACATGCTAAGTGTTACAATACCAATTTACAATTTACGCTTGTGGCCTGGTGGTCACAATAATTTATATATATATGTAAAAGTATATAACAGTCTATGAAATTTAAAGTATCACTAAGAATAACAGCACAATCTTGAGATTCAAGAAATAAACAAACTATCTCCATTTTAATAAACTAATTTGTTCCCACCTGACTTTTTAAAGTCAATGTATTAATATTAAAATAATTGGTTCATGCCCCAATAGTTCACGGTGCAGTAAAAGTAGCACTCATCACAGCCACATGATCATCCCGATGGCAAAATCGTCATGGAGTGTCTTTGAATTTGTGCTGCTGTAATTGCTGCTGTTGCAGCCGAAGGAGTTGCAACTGCAACTGCAACTGCTGCTGCTGCTGCTGATTGCGCGTCAAATGTTTATGGCATTCATCGCGTGCTGGCGGCGTTTTAATTGCTGGAACGGCACAAGCGCCAAGTGGATGGTAGATGGCCACGCTGCGTATGAGCAATGCGAGCATCAATAATCTCCTGAGATGCTGCCGCCGCAGTTGTCGCATAATAATTGCGTGTACTTAATGCATAAATATTGCACTGAATCGGACTGGTCGACCAGGTCGGCTCCTTTCTATTTGCCACTTTTAAGTTTGCCGCCGCCGTCGCCGCCAGTTGGACATCATTTTTTCAGGCACTGTTTTGTTTTTCTTATTTTTCCATTTCTTTTTTTTTGTTTTTAGCTCTCTTTGCCTTCTTCCTTTAGGCCTACAATTTCTATTGAAGCTGAGCTGCGACGGCGGCGAACAGCTAAAATCAATTTGGTCAGTGATAAAATTTTTGCAAAAGCGAATCAATTTTATGGCTGTGCCGGGGTGTCGTTGCGGCGGGGGTAAATCGTAAAAGTATTTCGATTTCGGGGCCAAATACGGCGAAAATCAAAAGGCCCAAAAACGAAGAATTTTTAATGATCTCTTATTAATTGAGTTTCCTATATAGAAGAGTGTGGCAAGGGTCTGCTGCTGAAACGGGGAATTCGCCTTTAGATTTACAATTAGATAAAAGTCGCTGGCTACTTTATTGAGATTTTATGTCTTTAAGCCGCGTCCAAGCTGCCGAATGTCCAGGGCCATATCAAAATTGCTTCGTTTCCACGAAATGCCGACAGCTATAAAACACCAAATGACCCAGCCAAAAAAAAGAAAAACAAGAAAACAATAAAATCATACATATATATATGCGATGAGCGAATTATGAGAGTTTGCATTATAATTGCAATTACACTAAATTAGCATTAACCAAGCTAAAGGAAGAAAAGGCGCAGTCAAAAAACAAAAGACTTAGGAAGCGAACTCGAACTCGAGAAGACCAGAAGCGCGTTGAGTTTCATTTCGGCATTCGATTAAGCAGATCAAAGGGAACCTTAATACGCTTATTAACAAGTAGGTGCTGCTGCTGCTG